AGATGTCATTCACCTGGATACAGCCCACCAATGGCTTCTCACTGCCCTTGGGATAAAATTCTTACTACATACTATTTTCCTTTCAAAGATTTTATTTTTATACTTATATATCTGTGTACATGTATGCATTTGTGTGTTTGCACATGAGAGTAGATGCCCATGAAGGGCAGAAGAGGGCATCAGATCCCCTACAGCTAGAATTATGAGTGGTGGTGAGCGACCTGACCTGGGTGCTGAGAATCACACTCAGGTCCTCTGCACGTGCTGAACCATCTCTCTTGTCTATGGTATTTTCTTTTATTGAGTTACTGCCTATCTCTATTGTGGAATATTGTTTTAACTAGGTAAAGATGTGTTATATTTGTTTATGTCGCATTTGTTTAACAATGTAAGGATGTGTGTTTAATTATAAAGATGTATTTGTTTCCTTTCTCTAGGCAGGAGAAAGGATAGGCAGGGCTGTGGAGCAGAGAGAATAAATAGGAGAAATCTGGGCTCTAGAGAGGAGTAGAGAATGAGGGAAACGCCTGGGGCCAGCCAGCTGCCAGCCAAACAGACACAAGCAGTGAAAGTAGATATACAGAAGGAAATAAAGGTATAAAGCCCCAAGGCAAAATGTAAATAAACAGGTTAATTTAAGTTAAAAGAGATAGCCAGAAAGGAGCCTAAGCTAGACCAAACATTCAAAACTAATAATAAGCCTCCATGATTTAGAAGCTGGTTGATGACTCAAAAGAAAAAGTGTGGTACAATTTTATTTTTATTTATTGAGTTATTGCCTATCTCTTTCCACTTTACCAAAGCTACTCCCCATACCTCCTACCCCTGATCTCAGAACTCCAATCAGAATATACAAATCCTATCTTACCTAAAACTTTCTCCTACCCTCCACTAGACACTTTTCAGGTTTTAGCTCAAACAGTTTCCTGCAGAATGCTTTCCCTGGCTGGCCTGATCTTACTTAGGGCTCCACTGTTTCCTTTCGTGACATGATGTTCTTTTTCTTCACCACAAGTATTACAGATTGTATTTATGATAGTCAGTCTCTTTCTACATCCTAGACCAGGAGAGCTCTCCTCTCCTCAGCAACTGTAAGAAACAGAACAAACCTCTTAGTTCTCCTTTTGAGAAAAAATCTACTCAGATCTTTCCTTTGGGTGATTTAAGCCCTACACAAGCTGACTGCCTGATAAGATCGCACTTCCAGCTCCTCCCTTACCAGGCAATTGCATCAAGTCCAGGTTTACTACCAAGCTGGTGCTTGCATAGTCTCTCTAGAGTGTCTCTCTGAGTATATGCCAGCCAATTTATGCTTTTAGGATTAAAAAATATGTAAATACAGAGATGGGGGAATGACTCAGTCAGTAAAATACTTTTCTTTGCAAGTTCAATCTCCAGAATCCATGCAAAATAAAAGGAGCACAGGGCTGGTGAGACAACTAGGTGTATAAGCAAACCTCCAAGCCTGATGATCTAAGTTTGATCCCTGAGATCCATTCCACATGGTGGAAAGAGAGACCAACTCTTGCAAGTTGTCTGTGACCTCCACACATGTCAAGAGCATGTATACACACACACACACACACACACACACAAACTGTAACCTAAAGTTTCATTAAATTCTGGGCACAGGGGCAACTATTTGTAATCAGCACTGAGGAGACAGGGGCAGATGGATTCCTAGGGCTCATTGGCCTGCCAACCTAAGCCTACTTTGGGAGCTCCAGGCTAATGAGAGCCCACGTCTCAAAAAATGACAGGTAACTCCTGAGGAACAACAGCTGAGGTTGCCTCTGGCCTACATGCACATATGAATGAGCATGTTCCTGTACACACATGAATAAATACAACATGAATATACATATGTACACACATATTAAAATTTAAACTATGGCTGGGCAGTGGTGGTGCATGCCTTTTAATCCCAGCTTTCAGGAGGCAAAGGCAGGGGGATCTCTGTGATTTCGAAGCCAGCCTGGTCTACAGAACTAGTTCCAGGACAGTTAGGAATGTTACACAGTCAAATCTGGTCTCTAAAAAATAGAAAACAAAATTTTATTTATTTATTTATTTATTTATTTATTTATTTATTTATTTATTTTATTTTGGTTTTTCGAGACAAGGTTTCTCTGTAGCTTTGGGGCCTGTCCTGGAACTAGCTCTTGGAGACCAGCCTGGCCTTGAACTCACAGATATTCACCTACCTCTGCCTCCCAAGTGCTGGGATTAAAGGCATGCGCCACCACTGCCCAGTGAAAACAAAAATTAAAAACATATATATATATATACACATATATATATGCACATTATCAGACACTAGATGAATTTTTATTCCACTAGTCCTTATACTTACCATTCTAAGTTGCTGTTTACTTTGGGGGACATAATCTCAAAATGTATCTTTGGCTGATCTGGAGTTCACTATATAGACCAGGCTGGCCTCCAACTCACAGAGATCTGCCTGTCTCCACTTGAGTGCTGAAATTAAAGACATGGACCACCACACTCAGCTCACTTTTATTTTAATGTATGTGAGCCTGTTTTCTTCCAGATTATTTATTTTTAAACTTACTGATACATTATGTGATCTATTTCTTATGACCCAATTTCTCAAGGTCATCATTATTTGAAACATCTATTATTTTTCTGACACACTAAATTGTAGTTTCTATGACAGAAGGAGTATCAGATTGGTTAATCTTTTTTTTTCTTTTTGGGGGGTATTTGCTTTGTTTTTTTGTTTTTATTTTTATTTTGAGATAAGGTTTCTCTGTGTAGCCTTGGCTGTACTGGAACTCACTTTGTAGACCAGGTTGACCTGAAATTCACAGAGATCCACCTGCCTCTGCCTTCTGAATGCTGAGATTAAAGGTATGTGCAGCCACACCCAGCCCAGTTCATCGTTTCTTTTTCTTTGATATTTTGTTTTATCTTTGTGTATAAATGTGAGTATAAGCATGCTATGGCACATATGTAAATGCAGGCCTTGTGCATGCCACAGCGTGTATATAGAGGTCAGAGGACAACTTCACCTTCTTTGAGACAGTCTCTCATTTTTTTTCCTTTCAGTATATGCCAGGCTAAGTGGCTAGTAAGCTTGCAGAGATTCACCTGCCTCTACCTCCTATCTGCCTGTAGGTACACTTCATTTACATGTGTGTGCTATTGCATCCAGTTCTATGTGAGCTCCAGGGATTTGAACTTAAACCTTCATACTTGTTTGGAAAACACTTTATCAACTGATCCACCTCCTTGGCCCTTGTTCATCATTTCTTGCACCTATATTGGGCACATCATATAAGTCAATAATAACTGCTATGAAAAGCATAAGTTGGTAAAGTAATTCAGTGGCAGACTGCAAGGTTAGCATATACACAGCCTTGGGTTCAATCTCAAACCAATAAAAGAGAAGAAATGAGTTCCTCTCTATTCCATCCTTACCTTTGTTCCATCAAAGACTAACGACTTCAGCCTTCCAGATGAATAAATCTCTGGCTCTTCCCAGGCCTATCTCTTCATCCCTCTGCCTATAAATAAATTTTCTTTGGCATATAAATATGTCGAGTGTCTGCCTTCCCCTGGGGGCAGTGCTCTTATTTGCCTATGTTATTACCGTTGTGTTGTTTTTCTACTTGTCATTGTGGTGTTGGTGGAAACAAACCAGGCCTTTGTACAAACTAGAAAACTGTTCTACCACTGAGCTGTCTCCCTAGACCTCTCTCTTATAAACCGGGCATGGCATCCTCAACTACATGGTAAGTTCAAGGCTAACCTGGACTACGTGGAACAGTCTCAAAAAAAAGAAGGTATAAAAAACCATACCATAGCTCTCACTTCACTCCCTTTTATCGACCTTTTTCCTGCCTCTTACTTTTCAAGTCTAAACTAATGGTGGTGGTGGTGGTGTTTCTGTGTGTATGTATGTATACATGTGTACACAAGCATGTGGAGGCTACAGGTCAACACTGGCTATCTTCTTTTAAGATTTATTTATTATGTATACAGTCATCTGCCTGCATGTATGCCTACAGGCCAGAAGACTGTACCACATCTTATTATAGGTGGTTGTGAGCTACCATGTGGTTGCTGGGAATTGAACACAGGACCTCTGGAAGAGCAATTAGTGCTCTTAACCTCTGAGCCATCTCTCCAGCCCCTTGGCTGTCTTTTTTTTTTAATTGCTTCTCCACCTTTAAAAGAAGTTTTAAAGCTAGGCATTGGGGGCACACACCTTTAATCCCAACATTCATTTAGGAGGCAGGTGGATTTCTGTAAGTTTGAAGCCAGCCCAGTCTACAGAGTGAGTTCCAAGATAGTCAGAGCTACACAGAAAAACCTTGACTCAAAAAAGAGTCAAAAAATATCTTGAGATTTTTTTCTGTTACTGTACCTGCTATGTACTGATTAGTTCTGACTGTCTGGCCAGCGAGCCCCAGGGACTCTCCTATCTCACCTCTCTGGGACTAGGACTACATAAGTGTGCCATTATGTAGGTGCTAGGGAATGTCACAGATCCTCAGGCTTGCAAGGCAAATACTTGAACAACTTAGCCACCTTCATGTCAAGTGCTAAACAAGGACAGCTTGCCAGTCACCTTGACTAACCCATACTGCAGCCATAACTGAGACCCTGATAGCTTACTAATTGGGATGTACTTGAACACGTTCAAATCCTCATCCTCTGGCTTCTCTGTGGTTGCATTTGACAAGATGGGGTGCTCTCTCTTTCATGAAATTCTCTCACCGCCTGGCATTGTTACACAACCTTCTAACTGTTCTATTTACTCTTACGGTCACACATTAGTTTTCTTCCTGGACACCACCCGAAACACCAGGAAGAGTGTGAACTGCGTGGATAAACAACCAAAGAGATGAGATCTTCCTATTTCTTCCTCTTTCCTTATCTTCTCAGACTGTGAAAGATAATTACAGTCCTCAGGTTTCCTTTTAGACCCTAGTGATCTCCTCCATCTTGAGCTTTCCACACTCAGCTGAGCTCACCAAAACCACCTTCCTCTTCTTTCTGGCCCCGGATCTGAGAATGGTCCTGAGACACTGTCTTCTGCTTGTCTTCCAGACTGCACTCGCGTCCATCTTGGATTGTCTCCATTTTCTCATCTTCTGGAAAAAGAAAACATTGTGAGGTAGGGAGATAAGCAGATCTCTGTTGGCAATAAAAAAAAACAGTGAAAAAATCACCAGAAAGCTCCAAGCCAGAGACAGAAAAATCGTACCCTGCCCACTATCCCATCCTCTGATTTCTTGATAAGTACTTGTACCAGGTTTCAATGACAACTGACTTGGGCTAGCAAGATGGCCACCCCAGAAGCTGCAGTGGAAAGAGAGAACTGACACCCAAAATTTGTTCTCTGACCTCCACATATACACCATAGTTGCTCTCCATTAATAATAAATAACATCTTTTAAAGTGTAAAGGATATCTGGGAGCTAGAGAGAGGACCCCAGTTCGGCTCCAAGGGCCCACTCTGGGCAACTTACAACCACGTATAACTCCAGCTGCAGGGGATCCAACATCCTCTTCTGGCTTTTCTATGTACCCATATATACATGGTACACATTCACACAGACATACATACATACACATGAACAGAAAATCTTTTTAAAAGTCATATAATGGGGGGCTGGAGAGATGGCTCAGAGGTTAAGAGCATTGCCTGCTCTTCCAAAGGTCCTGAGTTCAATTCCCAGCAACCACATGGTGGCTCACAACCATCTGTAATGAGGTCTGGTGCCCTCTTCTGGCCCGCAGGCGCACATGCAGACAGAGTATTGTATACATAATAAATAAAAAAATATAAAAAAAAAAGTCATATAATGATACTTGCCAGCTTTCTTCTTTCTTTTGCTTAAAGAAAGTCTATTAAATTTCTTCTTAGAGGGTTCAGTAACCAGCTGGCCTGGCTTAGATGTCTTTATCTCAGAGCTCACTTCCTCTTCTAGAGAAGATACTATCTTTGGAGTACCAGGCACTATTACCTTCTCCCTGAAATGATATTGTTTAAATAAAAGTTTTCAAAGAGATAGTTGCCACTCAAATTCTTTGAAAGAGATTCCAGGGGCTAATAGTAAAACAGGAATTCTCGATTGGATTGGGAGATGCAGCTCAGTGGTAGAGCACATATTTAGCATGCACTAGGACCACGGTTCAATTCCCAAAGGACACATACAAATCCCAGGTCTCCTATGGTCTCCTGAGGTCATTTTATCCAACTCCTTGCCCATTTCCTAGCTCTAACAGGCATCTTTCCTGAGCTAAGAGAAATCAATGTGAGTATAACAGATGACCAAATAGACAGGAAAATGGGTCACCATTTACCAGTCTCATGTCCACCCTGTGTTCAACTTGTCCCTCTGGGATAAACTTACCCATCAGCATTTTCATTCTCAGTGGCAGAAGGAGTAACTCCTGATTCTTTGTCTGACTTGGTAGGTGTCATGGGTTGGACACAGGAAGTCTCTGCAAAATTAAGTCCAGACCCCAGCCCTTCCAAAACAAAGTATTACAAGCAGAGAAGAGACAAAGGAAAACAAGTGCTCTAGCATTTCACAACCACAGCATTCCATTCAAATATCTTACCTTTGTGCTTCGGAGAGTCTACCTTTGGTATTTTGTCATATGATAGAACTTGAAATCACTAAACTCGAGAAAAACTAAGATCTGTATCTTTATGCAAGCCTTTCCATATTGACCAGCCTCATTCCACAACAGCCAAGTGATTTTATTGTGTACATGTACCATATTTTACCTTATTTCTCCTCAAACTTCTACACCTACAAAAAGCTTACATGAGACCATTCCCCTTAATCATGTTACCTTATAGAAAAGGCCCCTGAGCCTATATACCAGCCCTTTTTGTCCTAAAAAAAAAAAAAATCAAACCAAGGGCTGGGGAGATCACTCAGTCAATAAGGTGTTTGCCTCACAAGTTGAAGACCTGAGTTCAATCCTCATAACCCATGTAGAATCAAAACAAAACAAATCCAGTGTGGGGCATGCACTTGTAATCCCAGCACTAAGGCACCTGAGAAAGCAGATTCCTGAGATGCCCAGCTGCTAGACTAGAGGAAGTGGCTGGGCCCCAGGCTAGTGAGTGACAGTCTCAAAAAACAAGGTAGATAGAGCCTGAGGAATGACAACTAAGACTGACTTCCAGCCTCAGTCCACATGAGCAGACACATGCATCTGTGCATGTACACATGTTCACTTACACACATTAGCACAGACACACGTGAACCTGTGTATACACTTAAACAAATTCCAGGACAGGCTCCAAAGCTACACAGAGAAACCCTGTCTCAAAAAATAAAATAAAATATTTTCTCAGATGGGAGAGAAAGAAGCTGTCAAACTTATAGTACCCCTTAGATGCCAGTCACTCTCCCCTTTTCTCTTCACACCACACCATACCCAAGTACTCCTGCAGGGACTTCTGTAGTACAGTCTGGAAAATCTCCTCAAATTCTGCATTGGTAAGAGTTGCTTTTTCCTGCAGAGACAAGGGTAAGGAAGGAAAACTCCTTGTCTAGCACACATGGGGTCTTGGGTTTATTCCTCAGTAACACCCCCAAACACACACACACACACACACACACAAATCCCTGATGTGGGAAATTCTTCTGTATATGTGTTGCTTTTATCGGTTAATGAATAAAGAAACTGCTTTGGCCTGTGATAGGGCAGAGTAAGCTAGGCGGAAAAACTAAACTGAATGCTGGGAGAAAGAAGGTGTAGTAGTGAGAAGCCATGTAGCCTCAGACATGCTGGAATCTTGCCCGAAAGCCACAGTCACATGGTAGTGCACAGATTGATAGAAATGGGTTAATTTAACATATAAGAGCTAGCTAGAAATATGCTTAAACTATTGGTCGAACAGTATTGCAAATAATATAGTTTCTGAGTGATTATTTTGTGGTCTGGGCAGCTGGGAATGAACAAGTGGCCTCCTACCCCCAACAGAGAAAGATTCTGTTTATCTAGCTTATCTGGTACAAAACAGGAAGGACTGTCCTATCAGAGTGTGATGCGCACCTTTCCTTTCTTCTCAGATGACTTGTTCTCCTGGCCCCCGCCTGGACCTTGCTCTGTGGCTTTCTTCCGCTCCTTCTTTGAGATGGCTTTTGGCCTGCTTGGCTTGGCCTCTGCCTCTAGAGAACTGGTCCCCAGGGTGTCCTCCTTCCATGAATTAAGCTGTATCACACTATGTGATTTTTGTGTAGGTGGAGCAAAGGTTTTCTTTGTTCCCTTTTCATATTCTGAGGAAATATGATCAAATGAAGTTTAGGAAATAAGTGTCTAACTGAGATTGCCAAACAACTGCCTATAAAGTAGTCAGGTCAGCATTAGAAAAAAAGAAGCTTTCAACAAATCCAGATTTCTAGTCCCTCCCTGCATATTCATTCGCTAGCCCTGAGACTATTTTAAAACAGTTTAGAGTGAGACCCAGACACTTGACAAGATTAGTTGTTTCTAACATACACCAGGTTTTGTACCATCAATTCAAAATGATTAATACAACCATGTAGGAAGGTGAATTATTCAAGTGTAAATTTTTTTAAAATAGTCCCATTTTTAACTCCATGAAAATAAGCTTTTAAAAAAAAACTATTGAGCATTTAGAAATGACTCAAGGTTTAAACTTTTTTAAAAAAATCTATTTTCTAATTTTAACTGATCAAAATACATATAGGAATATCTCTGAACTAAACAAAATACAATAGAATTCCCAAGGTCTAGTCTGATGCCATCTCCTCTATGAAAATTATACTAATCCCACCAGGTATAAGTGATAACCTATTTCTTCTGAGCATCTATAACACTTTGTACTTCTATAATGGCATTCAGCATATTTAACTTCATATTATGAATACTTAGATGCATTTTTCTCCCTGTGAATTCATACATTCCTGAGCATGGCTGTGTTAAAGGTTTTTCTATTTGTGTAAATGTGTGTGAACTTTGCACATGCAGGTGCCCATGACGGCCAAAAGGCATCCAATCCCCTGGAGCTGTAACCGCCTAATGTGGGTGCTGGGAAGCACCCCTGAGTCCCCTGGAGCAGCAAGTGGTTAAGAAACCACTAAGCGTTTCTAAGAACTGTTTCTAAGTAATGTGAACAAAGTGAACAGAAAACATGGGACCAGAATTCCCCTTTGAAGGAAAGGATGGATAGACGGGGAAAGGGAGAGAAATGTATTAAGTGAATGTCTCTCAACCTTGGCTCACCTGTGTCATTCTGTAATGCTGCCATCATTCACTTCAGAAACTACGCTATCCTTGCCTCTGTCAGAAGAAAAGAAATGGTTATACTTTGGTTAGACATGTTTAGACTTTCTTTTTACCCTGTCTTCTTGGATTTAAATTTCTTTGTCTGGGATCCAGGACAATGCTTCTGCCTTCTTCACCCCATTCCTACCCCTGCATCAGTACTGATTACGTGCCTGGGCAGAGAGTTGCTGCTTTGGAGATAAGCAATAATGCCTGGTTTTGTTCTCCTAGTACTGGGCATTAAACCTCGGCCTTTGTACATGCTAGCCAGGCAAGCACTTTACCACCAAGCTATATCCCCAGCCCTTTTTTATTTGAGATAGGGTTTCCATAAGTTGCCAAGACTTGTCTAATTCTTTTGTAAGCTTTGAACTCACTCTGTAACCCAGGAAAGCTTTGAATTTGTAATCCTCCTGCCTCAGGCCTCAAAATAGCTGGAAGCAGAGATGGTACTGGAGTAGCGGTAAAGGACATAGCAGGGCTGGGAGTGAAAAGATGCTCTTTTCATTTCAAAGTTCCCCCACATGCTTAGGACACAAATTATTCAGAGGTCCCTATGCACAGGGACATTTGTTTTTCTGTTATTTCAATGTTCAGACCAAAAAAAATTCTCAAAATACTGGATTCTACTACTGTAGCTCAGAAACATTTGGTAACCAACAAGGGTCCCCATAGAACCTAAGTTAGCATCTTCTATCTTAGTCTTTTACTTTAAAATATAGTAACAAGAATATCTTTGATCACCGGGCTATGGTGGCACACGCCTTTAATCCCAGCACTCGGGAGGCAGAGGCAGGCGGATCTCTGTGAGTTCGAGACCAGCCTGGTCTACAGAGCTAGTTCCAGGACAGGCTCCAAAACCACAGAGAAACCCTGTCTCGAAAAAACAAAATAAAATAAAAAGAATATCTTTGATCAACACAGCTCATCCTCAGGAATGCACTCTCAGCTGCTCTACTAAATCAATGTTTTGTCTTACTAGTGACTGCACATATGAGCATAGATGTTTTTCTTTACCATTAATGCATCATCGCATTTCATTCTCACAGCCAATCTGTGAGGTGGATTCCAAGGTATAAGGTACCTTCCATTAGATCACCAGATGAGTTCAGAAGATACTGGCCACATTAAGCTAAGCGCAAACCATTTTTAAATTATCCTTTGGCATTTTCCCACTCTGTTTTATGTATGTATATGTGCACACATGCACATATGTAATTCAGGCATGCTGTTCTGAAGCGATTACTTTTCTTCTATAGGAAGGAACATATTTTCAGTTTCCATCTTAATTCATCATCACTAGTGCCCACATACATTTGCTCCATTAAAAAAAGATAAGTGGTGCTAGGCGGTGGTGGTGCACGCCTTTAATCCCAGCACTTGGGAGGCAGAGGCAGGCGGATCTCTGTGAGTTTGAGACCAGCCTGGTCTACAGAGCTAGTTCCAGGACAGGCTCCAAAGCCGCAGAGAAACCCTGTCTTGAAAAACAAAAAAAAAAAAGAAAAAGAAAGAAAAAAACAAAAAAAAGTGGAAATTGGGAGGAGAAACAATAATTTGTTCTTTTTTTCTTAACTATAACCCCGACTAGAAGCTTAAAAATTGAATAAAAGGCTGCAAAATGATTATTAATTTGGCCCCATATGACAAATATGTCTTCTCCCAACTCCATAATTCCAAAGAGTATCATGAAAAATTCCTGTAAAAAGAGAAAAGGCATAGTGAAAAATCTGTGAGCTTGATGTGACATTTGGTTATTTAAAAATGCATGCTTACATGACAGGCTATGTATTCAAAACTAGCTCCAGGAAATACAAAGAACTGATCCAAAATGTCTCTGAGGAGCAGTCTAGGTAGGTATAAGGTGCATGTATGAAGCTAGCCACTGTGCTCACACACACACACACACAACTGTTTAAATACATAAAAGAATGCTCTCCACAAACTGCACGCTTTAGAATATTTAGCTTCAAAGTCTTACTTAACACTTGGGAGGCAGAGGCAGACAGATCTCTGTGAGTTGGAGGCTAGCCTAGTCTACAAAGTAAGTTTTGGGACCACCAGGACTACACAGTGAAACCCTGTATCAAAACAAAACAAAAAAACAACTTATTTAAAACTATACAGATCTCCCAGGATAATACGTTTCTGGAGCTCCAACTAACTAGGAAGAATTACAGACCACAGGGCTGGAGAGATGGCTCAGAGGTTAAGCGATCTGGTGCCCTCTTCTGGCCTGCTGGGATACATGCAGGTAGAACACAGTATACAAAATACATACATACATACATACATACATACATACATACATACATACATAGTCTTTTTTTAATTAACAATCCAGTACAACAATCTTCAGTAGTCCTCCTGTCTCCAGTGTAATCCAGCAAAATATTCACATAGTAAGAAGTTCTAAGTCTCAAACTGCAATTTATCGTTTTGTCCGACATGGTCTACTGGGCCAGGGAATTTTTCTAAACCTCAGACCTCACAACTGACAACAGAATTTAAGTCACTGGATCAGTCACTGTCTGAATGCCAGGGACCAATCCTCCATTCCATCAAGCTCGCTCTGGGCTTCCCAATTCTTAAAATTATCTTACTAGAGTGATTAGGGCTTTGGATTTTTAAGAGATCTGGTGCCCTCTTCTGGCCTGCAGGGATATATGCAGGAAGAACACTGTATTCATAATAAATAAATCTTTAAAAAGAGTGCTTGTGGCTCTTCTACATCAGGCAGCTCACAACTGCCTGTGACTCCAGCTCTAGGGGACTGGGCCCCTCTTCTGGCTTCTGCAGTCACTGCACTCACATGCACATGTACATAAATAAAGATACAAATTATGAATTACAGCAGGGCTTAGTGGCACACGCCTTTAATCCCAGCACTCAGGAAGCAGAGGTAGGCGGATCACTGAATTTCAGGCCAGTCTGGTCTACAGGAGCAAATTCCAGGATAGCCAGGGCTACACAGAGAAGCCCTGTCTCAAAACTACAAAAAGAAAAAAAAACTTACAGATGTGCCAGGTGTGGTGGCACAAACTTTAATCCCAGCACTTGGGAGGCAGAAATAGGCAGATCTCTACGACTAGAAGAGCCTGGTGTGAGTTCCAAGCCAGTCAGAGCTACAAAGTATGACCTTGTCTATCACATACACACACACACACACACACACACACACACACACACACACACTGAGGGAGGGAGGGAGGGAAGGAAGGAACGAAGGAAGGAAGGAAGGAAGGAAGGAAGGAAGGAAGGAAGGAAGGAAGGAAAGAAGGAAGGAAGGAAGGAGGGAAGGGAGGGAGGGAGGGAGGGAGGGAGGGAGGGAGGGAGGGGAAGGAAAGGATAGTTCAGCAGTTAGGAACATTTGTTGCTCCTGCAGAGGACTGAGACTCAATTCCCAGCACCCACATAGTATTTCACAACCATCTGTAACTCTAATTCAGGGGATCAGGTGCCCTTTTCTGACCTTGGCAGGTTACCAAGCACACAAATGGTGTACATACATAACATTCAGATGAAATGCTCACAAGTAAAATGAATCAATCTAATTAATTTTTTGTAAAGGGAAAAGTTATGGACTACTACTACAGAAATAAGACATCACAACTCTATAAGCAGTGATGTACAGTAAATAAATAGTTCCCCTTAACCTAAAGTTGGGATGTGAAGAACATTACCTTCAAAATTTCTAACCCAATCAATAAAGAAGAAAAAGTCAAGAAGTTACTTTCTAATAAGTCAAGCTGCGTCTCCCTGTCTGAGATGAATTTGCTTCTTCTACAATAGCAAATACTAAAACGCTGACTTGGAGAGAGAAAAAACTAGTTTAAAAAATATACAAAATACCAGCCTGCACTTGTTAAGAGTGTAAAGGCAGAAGCAAATGACATGAAGTCTCTTTTCACTTTCCACGTTATATTTTTGAGCAGAGTCTCTCCGTGAACCTGGAGCTTGCCATTTCAGATAGACTGGCTGGTCAACAAGTCCCCAGTATCCATCCGTCTCCAGCTCACAGTGCTGAGGCCACAGACCCACAGCACCACGCCCAGTTTTTTGTGTGGGTGTCGGTGATCCTCTACCTGTGCGGTAGGTAGTTACTTGCTATCTCCCCAGTCTTTATTTGAGGTTTTTTTAAAGATTTGTTTATTCATTATATATACAATATTCTGCCTGCATGTATCCCTGTGGGCCAGAAGAGGGCACCAGGCCTCATTACTGATGGTTGTGAGCCACCATGTGGTTGTTGGGAATTGATCTCAGGATGTCTTATCCTCTGAGCCATCTCGCCAGCCCTCCATTTGAGGTCTTAATTTCTCTTTTCTCTCATATGAAATGGATATGAGGAGGAAAACGGAAACAAAGAGACAATCCCACCTGGAAAGACAGCCCTGACGCTAAGGGAAAGTGCTTGTTGCTCTTCCAGAGAACCCAAGTTCAGTTCTCAACATCCATGGGCGGCTCACAACTGCTTATAACCCCAGCTCCCCAGGATCTGACACCCTCTTCCAGTCTCGGCAGGCATTCACTTAGATGTGGTTTGCACACATACTTAAAAAAAATGATTATAATAAAACTTCTTGGACTCCTCCACAAATTTTTAAGAATATAAGAGACCAAATCTGGTATGCTGGAAATTATGGCAGAAATGTCTAATCAGGATGAGAAATTCAAGGCCAGCATGGACTACACGAGACCATACCCCAGTGAACAGGGAGGGGGACTCATAAGATCTGAAGGCAGCACTAGTTGCTGAGGGAAGAAACATTCAATGGTGAAGCTACTGGTAAGATGGGAATAAGAGAGGACAGTTGTGTGAATATGATCGAATTATATACATGTGCAAATTTACCACAATGAAACCATTATCATATATAACATATGCTCGTAAACTTAAAATATGTTTATAAATAAGTTTTAAACAAACCTGGTATAGCGAACTAATTTAATTTAGCGCCGCCAATATTTGTCAAAAAACATTAATTATCCACCTTATAATGTCCTGAATACGCTGTTATTCCCTCTTTATATTGATTCTCTGTTCCTTAAAGAAAAACAGCCCCTTGAGTACTGTCTATTACCACAGATTCCAAGGTTTTCTAAAAATCACAAAGATTCTATTTAATACCAGCATTCATGAGGTTGAGGCAGGATCTAAAGTTCAAATTTGAGGTCTATAAAGCAAGACCCTGTGATTTAAAGGGACTATTTTTAACCTCCTGTAAGCTAGGACAGTGAGTCGTGTCTGAATTCCAGCTATAGGGGCACTGAGGCAGGGGAGTGAGCTCTAGTTTGAGACCTATAGAAAACCCTTGCCAAATTAAGAAAAAGGAAAAACCTCCTGTATTGAAGTTTTTCATTTAAGACAGTCAGGGGCTCATGGCTGTAATCCCAGCACTTGAGAAACTAATGAATTCCGTTGCTGGAACTTTGAGTACAGACTGGGCTACAAGTGACTTCCAGAACAGCCAGGGATACAGACAAGACCCTGTCTCTGAGAACAGATAGACAGACGAGATGGCTTAGAGGGCAGGGATGCTTTCCGCCAAGCCTAGGGAGCTGAGATTGGTTCCAGAGCCCACGTGGGCAGGGTGGGGGAAACAGGTTGCCCTCTGGCCTCCACATGCTGTATGATATGTGCACACGCCAACACACAAGCACACCTCACACAACAAATAAATAGATAAGGGTAATAAAACCTTTTAAAATAAAATTCATTTAAAATTTTCATTTCCTTTAAGATGGAGTTAATGGTCTTTTGACATTAATGTCTAACAGCCTATGAGCGCCTGCCTATTCTCATGATTTTGATTAACTGTTATTTTTGAAGTTCCCTTTGTGAGCACGCACGCATGCATGCATGCTCTGCAAATTTATTTTGGGTTTGTTTTGTTTTTTGTTTTTCTTTTTTTTTTTTTTTTTTTTTTTTTTTTTTTTTTTTTTTTTTTTTTTTTTTTTTTTTTTTTTTTTTTTTTTTTTTTTTTTTGGTTTTTTGAGACAGAGTTTCTCTGTGGCTTTGGAGCCTGTCCTGGAACTAGCTCTGTAGACCAGGCTGGTCTCGAACTCACAGAGATCCACCTGCCTCTGCCTCCCAAGTGCTGGGATTAAAGGCGTGCGCCGCCATCGCTGGGCTGAAAGCACCCATTTTTATTGTCTGTCCCAAAGAGAACTGGTGATTTTATTGTCTGTCCCAAAGAGAACAGCCTCCCAAGTGCTGGGATTAAAGGCGTGCGCCACCATCGCCCGGCTTCTGCAAACCTTTTAAACATTTAACAAGTAAAGAAAGACTAGAAGTCCATCTACCCTGACCAAATTGGCTTTCAGAAGTCATTACCCAAGCTAAACGTTCCACAGAAAATTTCAAATAAAACCCTTGAGTGTATTATTATTATTAGTTCAGGGTGGGGGCTGGAGGAGTAGAAAGGAAGCCGGACGGTGGTGGTGCGCGCCTTTCATTCCTGCACTCAGGAGGCAGAGGCAGGGGGATCTCTGTGGACAGCCTGGTCTACAAGGCCAGTTAAAGGACAGCCAGAGCTACACGGAGAAACCCTGTCTCAGGGAGAGGAAAGAAAAGCGGAGAGGAAGTCCAAAGATGTGGTCACTTGCGGGAAAAGCAGTATTCTTCGGGGAGAGGGGGGGTGGGGGGTCCGAGACAAGGTTTCTCCGTGACACAGAGAACTCACTCAGTAGATAGACCAGACTGGCTTCGAGCTCACGGGGATCGTCCCGCTTCTGTCTCCCGGGTGCCCGGATTAAAGATGTGCACCACCACCGCCCTGCGCAAGTTTCTTTCATCACAGCTCACGTCATTTCACGCTCTTGACATCAGTCTCTGGATTGCTGCCACTCGTGTTCCGCCCCGCCTTGTCCCAGACCTGAGGCTGGCCCTCGGGATGTTCTCACTTCAAGCAGCCTGAGTCCTATTCCTTGGCAGAGCGCACGCCCTTTCGGCTTCCATTCTATCAGGATGCGGTGCCATAAACACCCAGCCCCATGGAGAAACCCCAAAATAAGAACCTTCACTGGTCCTCTACCTGTTCTTCACCAGTTCTCTTTGGGACAGACAATAAAAATGGGTGCTTTCAGCCCAGCAGTGGCGGCGCACGCCTTTAATCCCAGCACTCAGGAGGCAGAGACAGGCGGATCTCTGTGAGTTCCAGGCCAGCCTGGTCTACAAGAGCTAGTTCCAGGCCAGGAACCAAAAAAGCTACGGAGAAACCCTGTCTCAAATATCAAAAATAAAATGGGAAGAAAAAGAAACATCTTGGTTTCACTGTATATTCAGGCTATGAAACAGAAACTAGTTGAAGTTAGTGCAAAGGAACTGGGAAGCAATGACTTATAGAACTTCATCTGGTGCATTTAAATTGCTTTTCATCTCAACAAGAGCTCTGGAGAAACACACTTTCAAGATGTATTTTATGTATGGTCATGAGTTTTCAATAAATGGGTACTTCTTAAGAATTCAACTTACAAACCAAAGAAGACACTAAGAGAAACATACATGGATCTAATCTACATGGGAAGTAGAAAAAGACAAGATCTCCTGAGTAAATTGGGAGCATGGGGAGCATGG